AACCTGTCCGTCCTGGGTGGCCCTGCACGGCATAGCTCATGGCTTCATTGAGTTACCCAAGCCCCTTTGCCATGACAAGGCAGTGATCCATGAAGGGTTTCTTTCTTTTAATTAGGAGCAATTACTAATATTTTACTAGTACACTTTCATTTTATATGTTATTTTATATCAATCAACAAATGTGTATATATATAGAGAGAGAGAGAGAGAGAGAGACAGAGAGAGACAGAGAGAACAGTATGAATGTGATGTAATGTCAAAATAATAGTGGTAAATGTGGTAGAAAACTCACCCAGTAAACACCAACAACTGGCAAGAATTCAAACAATCATTTTACGTTGCAAAGCTAGCTACTTATAGTAATTGCTTCCTTACATCCAGATAAGCCGAGAGCAGGAGTCCCAAGGTTACACAGGTCTTATGTAGAATGCTGATCAAAGACAACTGAGTGTATATATTAACAGAAGAGTGCAATAGATAGAACTGCTTTACAACTGATACGAAAACAAGATAACTACAAATGAAGACATAGTTATCCTTCATAGACTGAAAACATTACAATTTCTTGGAAGGCAATATAGCTTTGATATGTGAGAGGTGTCAAACCCTTAATTATTATTCTAACAAGATGACCTGTACTTTACTGCTGAAGGAGAGAGATAAGGAAACACAGCAGGGCATATCCTTGGATCTACTGTCTCTTCTCAAGGCATTAAGTTCTATAATCAATTAGTAACTAACAGGCATAAACTGGCATTCCAATACAATTCCTTTCATAAAGGTGCTACCAGAGAAATATAACTACAGGTAGTCCTCAGTTAACAACAGCAATTGGGACCAGAATTTCCATCACTAAGTGATGCAGTCGTAAAGTGGGATGTCACGTGACTGTGCCACTTAGCGACAGAAATTCTGGCACTTCCAGTTGCCATTGTTAAGCAAATCACCATGGGCTGTTAAGCAAGGATGTCACATGGTCACCATTTACAACCTTCTGCTGGCTTTCCCATTGACACTGCTTGTAGGAAGGCGGCAAAGTTTGCAAATGACCATGGATCACATGACCATGGGACGCTGCAACATCGTAATCACAGCCAGGCATCAGATTGCAATCATGTGATCATGGGATTGCTGCAATGGCTGGAACTTTTCCAGCACCATTGTAAGTTTGAACAGTCGCTGAATGAGTGGTCGCTAAGCAATGACCACTGTAAAAGCATATATGTGGTATTATAAGTGAACATATCATTACATAATTAATTCAGCTTGGACTCTAATTCCAATTCCTCACAGAAATGAAGAAAAAAGAAAAAAAAAGCCTGAAAAATTATATTGTAAACAGAACTCAAAAAATGATTATCATATTGTTCATTAGGTTATATCCTTTCCCCTTTTTCAAAAAGTTAATTCAAATATTGATAAACAACATATCAAGAAAGGGACAAAGAGAGGATCATTAGCTTGTACCCAAAGAGAGAGCACACCATTAATAATTATACATGACTTAAAGGATGAGTAAATCATACCAATCCAAAATATAAAATTTGGAGGGATCCCAAATCAAAATCTGTCTTAAACCTTCCAAGAAACCATTGCTGCTAGTATCTATGATGAGTTAAGAGCAAAACATTTGTTAAAAATCTGGTACTATCAGAAGCTTGATGCCCTCATTATTTATTTATTAAATGTATATGCCACCCAACTCCCAGCAACTCTGGACAGTTTTATATCAATATAGCCTGCGATGTTCAATAATCAGAGAAATAAACTGTAATCTACAGTCCAAAGTAGCTCTTCAAATCTTAATACTGATATTTTCAAAGAAACAGGTCTATAATTAAAACACTATCCTTGTCCATCTTGGGAATAATTATAATATCCATCTCACTAAAACTAAAGGGTAAGGATTTGTTTGAAAAAAAATTAGTTTCAATTTCTCATAAAATACAAAAAAATCCCAATATACTTTTTATATGAACCTACTGGAAAACCATCAGGGCCAGAAATCTTCTATGATTTCAAAAGATTTAATTGTAATAACAATTCCTTGAAACAAAAAAAAGTAAAATTAGTTACCTAGCTCTGCTAACTGTGGTAACCTTACTTTCTGTAAAGAAAGCACGTATCTCATCTTCTCCTGATAAAAAATTGGACTTTGTGGCTTGTTTTATTTTACCACAGATATTTATTTCACTATCAAATTGTTCTCAAGGTGCAAAAGGAATGAGCAATTTTTAAAAAATAATTTATACATAAGCTCTGATTAGAGATGCCAAAGGCAGGCTTCTAGTCTGCTCTTCAGTCATAGGGCAACTGGCAGTCAAAGCCAATTACTCTTTGCAGAAAAGCGATAACAAATCTCTACAATTGTTCCTTCGCTATCCAATGGATGAGGCTAGACTGCTCTTCTGGGAGGCAGGATATGCCACCTACCCACCGTTCTTGACTAATGGTCAGAGATTATAGGAGTTCTAATCCAATATATCCAGGGAAAACAAGGTTACTTATTATTTTGTAATAAACTGATCTGATAAAAATACCTTGCTCTTTTTTTTTTTAATACTTTCTCTTTAATGTTCTTATCTGATAACTACTTACCAGGTATGAGACCACTTCATAAGCCCTCTAATTCATCTCACCTAATTTATATCCAAATTTTCTTAAAGACCCCTTTTAAAAATCAAAATTCTAGTTTTAATTGGCCTTCCAGTTAAATAATCATGGATTCCCTTGTGATCAATTGATTCAAATTTATTCCTAACACCTATTCATCTTATGCTCACTTGCCAACAGGAAATAAGATACTGTGATTTTCTTGAGGGAAGAGTGACAACTTGAGGAACAAATTTAACATTCAGCTCATCCAAAACTTGCTGGTCCCTGCTATTGCTGACAGTTTTTTTTTTTCTTCTGTTCCGAGGAACTAACAAATGTGACAGATGAAGACCCCATGATGAGTAAAAGATGAAATCTTAAAACCCAAAACAAACTAATGCATACACAGTATAAGCCTAAACATGTTTACTCAGAAGAAAAGCCTAGTAGCCAACTAATCCTACAGGAATACAACCTTAGGAATTCTTAACCAGCAAGCATTTTAATAATTTTCCACAAGAATTCTGCATACATGAAAGTTTTTGCAATCCTCAAACAAGAAAAAGTTTAATATATTTGCTTACATATAAGATAGGATTCTGTGAGTAAATCAAATATATTCAAACTTACCGTTTTGTCTTCTTGTAATTTTCAAGCTGTAATACTTGCATATGCTTGTATCTTTGCAATTCACACTGTCCACAAAGATCCTCAAGATATAATAAATGATGCTCCATTTCTTTAAAATGTGCTTCCAACTGGACTTTGTTAACAAAATATTCAAACAGAGTATGTAAGTATCACTTCTTTAACAGATTATAATTGCTACTGATACAATTTCACGCTAAAGAATTTCATGTATTACATCACTACCAAAACCCCCAAAACCCTCACAGCAGGGACATTTCAAGAAGCAAATATGCAGAAAGATTCAAGGACAATTTTTCTTGCTGTCATGAATTGTTTTCATGGGGAACCCTCCTTTCCATTTCACAGGCCTTGTGATAAAATTGGTACAGCAAATGAATTAAAGGGAGAGAGGAAGTATCATAGGACACCTGCTTCCCTTTCAATTCTAACGTATCTTCCCATCAGGTAATTTGGAGAAGACTAGTTGAGATGGTCAGTTACATAGTACACACTGTTTTCCAAGAGTTTTCTAAAATAATTATTTGAGAAATGAAGATTAGAAGTGGCAGGCTTGCTCCTGAGCCCTCAACTCCTCAATCAAAAATAATTCAGCTTATTTCCCAAACTAATCCAAAGCTGAGAAAATCATTTTGGCAGCTCTTTCTGAGCCCTAAAAAGCACTGCAATGGCAGTAATTCTCAGAGGAATTACATCTATTGATTACTGTGCTTTCTGCACCTATAGCACTGCATAAGGACACTAGAGAATGGAAACCCATCCTTTCATTCCCCTTTACTTCATCACTGTATTCAATATTCTGAAGTATGCTGAAAGGCAGGATGGCAAGCTCAGAATTCATTTTCTGTCTCAGAGAATCAAAACTGAAACAAATTCAGAATTTTGACTTATAAAGTTCAGCTCTTTTCACTAAGGCAGGCTTTCACAAATCTCTATAGTTTATTTTCAAACCCTTAAGAAAGGAATTTTAAAAAGAGTACCTTTAAAATACAAATTAATATAAGAAAATAGTAACTTACATCACCCCTGAAACAAATTGCAATGAGACCCTATCTAGCAATAGTGGTGAATAGAGTCTTGATATGGCAGATCCAGAAACACTGGTATCTGTTTATCTGTTTGAAACTGCAAACATCATGGCTTTGAACATCCAGCCACGTTTTTCTGGATTTCATCTTTCCTTTCCACTTACTGTTTTTATAATATCACATTTCATGAAGAGTTCTTCAGAACTTGCAAGTCTGCACTCCATTTTATATTAATTTGAGCAGTCCTACTAATGATATGTTTAAGCTGTTCTGTTTTCAATAGAGAATTAATTACTACCAATAATAAAAAGCTGAACTCAAGCCAATGATTTGAAAAACTAGTCCTTGAGGACCCCCTAGTGAGTACTTTTAAAAATACACCTAAGTTACACAACTCAGGATTATTTGCTCATAACAGCATCTTTCAAACTTTTTAATATTGCAACCTCCTAAAATGATGTGCCCCCTCCTATGAAAAGAACTAATGATTTTATTGGAGTTTGGGCTGGGCAAAAAATAAATATCCCACTCATTTTTAATAATTAGCAGTGATATAAGGATATCTTCACAATTTTCTAAGGATCTGGGTATAAATCTATGAAATAAAAAATAAACTGAATGCACACTTACTCAGGCTAGCTGTTGTAGATTCCAAGCCTGCCAGAAATACTGGAATTTGTTGGAGCTGGTCTTGAAGGTCCAAAAGACTACTTCTCTTTTTCTCCCAGTGGGCAGAAAGCATCACAACTTCACTATCTACCAGCTGAAGTATTTAAAGTCAAGAATATAATTACAGTTACCAACTTTATTATTTAGTTTCAAGCTCTGAATAGACAGACCAAAGCCTTAAGTGATTTCATAGCTGCAGATTTCCATTCCCACTTAGCTGTAAGTAAAATAACTAATTCAGAGCAATTGATTCCATGGGCCTTATAGAGTATTTTTTTAAATTAAATTCAATACTTTTCAACATAATACAAAACTAGTATTTCAAAAGAAATGTCCATTTTTGCAACTATTTTTAAACCCTTTTTCTGCCCATAGTTTTTCCAAAAGTAAAAAGAACAACCTTCACAGTTTATTTAGAGTATGAAAAATTCAATTAAACATAAATTGTAAGGTTACAATACATGTTAAATTGTCATATTACATTCTATTTTATTCAGTCTATTACTATCTTCCTCAGTCTAATGTATTTATATTTTCTCATAATTCAGTAACCTAGATCTTTCCTGCTGCAAACACAAACTTACATAACTCTCTTTAGCAAAATTAGAGAAATTAACACTGAAGAGCAAGATATAAATATATGGCTAAGCATTTGTCCTACTATTGATTTTGAAGTTTATACAATCTTTTGCTGAATCTTGTCTTACGTATTTGCTTTCTTCAAACATCTAAAATGGCAATAACACAAGGACATTCAGAGCTTAGGGGCTGGATCCAATGAATCTACTGCAACTAATAGCAGCTTCATACATCCCAGTAAGCATACTGTGGTTTCCTAATTTTTAGCATTGGATGTTATATCTTATTCAACAAATCACTGAAATGGTTAAAAGAGAACAGAGCATTAAAGCTAATGTCAGTCTGTATTAAATTCAGTATAGTGAATAGAAATAAACAATACATATAATTGTCAACTCAATTCAGATTGTCAACTCATCCAATGCTTCTAAATCAATTTAGAAAAGAAACTAATTCAAGGTCCAAACAGGTTTTGTAAAGACATCTGATTTAACATCTTACTTTGGAAAAGCGAGTCAAATCATTTCAAAAACTATTTGAATTTCTGAATCAATACTGTATTTTCTACAGCCCTAATAAGGATAATATTTGCATTTCCCTGCTATATTTGTTTATGTGAACACAGCTGGTGACTTTAGATGGTGACTTTAGTTTAGTATCTAATTCAAACAAAATCATGAAGTATCAAATGTACTGCAATCAATGTTATATTGAATTGCATTGAGAGGAAACAATATATTAAGTTTTGTCTAAACCACTACTGAGTTGGTGGTTCAAGAACTCAGATGTAATGTTAGTGTTCTGAACAGGATACACTAGTGATGCTGATGGATAAGACTCTGTCATAAAAACTCAAACAATCTCCATAATCCAAAATATTCTCTGCTATATATACCTGCTGTACCAATTGCTACAGGTCTTAACCACAGATAGCAGGCTTCAGTTTTTCACACACTTGGAACATTTTGTTAACACAATTACAATACGTGATACATATGATTACCTTTGAAGACTGTTTAGAAACTATGCCTTCATGATTACAGACTGAGACTGACTATGCAGAGTATGTGACAACTTACATTTGTATTGCAAAAGTTTTAGTATTACCTCTCCAGCTTTTGCACACTCTTTTGCTCCTTTGTGAAGTGCTGCCCAAGAATCTTCATACCTTCACAAAAGGAAAGAGAAATAGCATAAACACTTATATTTAAACTGATGACCATAAACGTATCAAATGCTGCTGATCTCATGTGCTTATATTTGTCACAGCTTAGATTTATTTTCATAAAAACACCACAAGGTTACAGAACATTTTTTTAGATTAGCATGTTTCAGAATTTTACAATAAGATCATCAGAACAATCTGACTTACTCCCAAATAAGTATGTACAGAATTTCATTTTAAGATCAAATGACTGGCACTAAAAGGCTTGAAGAACTGACTCATTTTGATTCATTTTTCCATGGAATTTTCTCCAGAAAGGTATGGATTTGAAGTGCAGAAGTGAGCATACTGAGTCCTACTGTGCCATTAGAAGTGTACCCATGAAACATTGGGTACAACCCTCTTAAAAATTCAGTGGCAAAAAATCCATGGTTTAAGCCAGTTATACCAATGTTCACACTTCTCATCTTTTCTCATGTGCCAGTACAGGTAGTCCTCACTTAATGTCTACTCATTCAAAGTTACAACGACGCTGAATGAGGGGGACTTACAACTGGTCCTCATAGTTGCAGCCATTGCAGCATCCCCATGGTCATGTGATTGCGATTCAGAAGCTTGGCAACCAGCTTGCAATTACAACATTGCAGCATTCTGAAGTCATATGATTGCCATTTGTGACCTTCACTGCCAGCTTCCAACATGCAAAGTCAACAAGAAAGCCAGCAGGAGTTTGCAAATGGCTATCATGTGACCACAGGACACTGTGAGCACGTGGGATTCACCTAACAACAGCAACTGGAATTGCCGTTGTAAGTAGGCTTAGTCACGTGAAGTTGCGCATTATGCTCGTGTTGCTAAGCTACGGAGTTCCCAGTCTCAATTACTGTCAGTAAGCAAGGACTACCTGTAGAAGTCTTTTCGTGCTTTTCTCTAAAATTATTAAGTCTAGCATAATTTGAGCCAACACCATACATTTTAAATGAAAACTGAAATTCTGCTGTGGTCACTAACCCAACACAGACACTAAACCTACAGATTCGGAAAACTCCAAATGTAGGTTATGTAAATAGTTTTGAATAACCAGTTTACACTTCCACAAGTAAAATGAAAATGGGAAAAAAAATAGAAAATAAGCTTTCCTTTAAAATGAGATAAGTTTTCCCTTAAAATCAAGAACAAAGTTTTCCAATCTGAACATTAGTTAATCTTATATAAGCACTGTTTTCTGTATTACCAATATGTAATTTGTGCTTACATCATTCATGTAATTAAATTTAGACTACAATCATGCCTCATTTTGGATGTAAATTCAATGGGATTTAACTTAAAAGATATGAATAGGATTGTGATATTAGGCTGCAATTATATACCACTTCTTGGGAGCTCAGTCACATATATTCAATTATACTTCTTTACAAACTAGTGCACAGCCAGTCTAACAAGTATTCAGTTGGTTCAAGTATTCAATGGTCTTTTTGTCAGAATATACTCTAGAACTCCTAGGAACTGCACAAAAGCTAAAATTCTGCATTTCATAAACACCCTTGAGTGTATTTAGTGTCATTAATGAGAGTAAAGCCATTGTACCAGTGAGTTTACTGATTTTTATACTATTATTTACTGCTTTTCAATTAAGAAAGCAATATAAAAATAAGGGAATTCCCTACAACATCTACTGTAGTCATACCTCCGTCTCCAGAAAGATAAGCAGATTGACAACATTGTCAGAAAACAGTGAGAGTGTACAGAAGAAACTTACCTACTCAGCAAAACTAAACCAGCAGAAAATTTTGGTAAACTCTGTGCAGTCCTATAATAAAAAATTATAGGCACATCTTAGAGATACACACATTCAAAATGATTTTAAATTGAACTTTAGGATCTGTAGGATCAACAGACCATTTTTTAAAAAAATCAGATGATAGTCATAATATCACCAGAGTTCAGCTAACTGGAAATGGAATTTTGTTGGTTTGTTTGGCCTCTAGAAAATTCTAAGCTGTCAAATCAAATGACTTTTACACTTTGTAATGGCACACTGTTGTCTCCTCTTGCCAAATCAGACTTCTCAAGAGTACAGATACAGGTAGTCCTTGTTTAATGACCACAACTGGGACTGGCATCTCCATCACTAAGCAATGCGGCCGTTAAGTGAGACATCATATGACCACCACTTGCGATTTTACTGGCAGCTTCTCCATTGACTTTGCTTGTCAGAGGCTGGCTGTGAAGTGCACAAATGGCGATCACATGATGGCAGGGTGCTGCAACCATCATAAACACCCACTGGTTGCAAAGCACCTGAATCTCGATCACATGACTGCAGAGATGCTGTGACAGTCATAAGTGCAAGGGCTGGTCATAAAGTTACTTTTTTACTGCCATCATAACTTTGAACAGTCACTAAACAGGGCAGTCATTAAGTGACCCTGTACATTAAGTAATTACCTGTACCAATCTAGCTTATGATGCAGTGCAGCTCCCCATACTGGCACACATACATTTGGTATAACAACAATGACTGGAACATACCACCTAATACTATATTTTGCTATTATTTAAAAGGATATTAAATTTTAAACCCCTGCACACAATATCAAAACAGAAACTGTAGTCTTGTTAGCATATGTTTTGAATGGTTTAAAAACCTACACCATGAAATAATTATTACTAAAGTACAGTTTTCTTAATGAAAACATATTTTACAAATATACTGTTAAAATATTTAGTAGTACCTCTGTTTACTTATTTTAGCTTCTCTTGATTTGTCACTGAAGATCTTCAGCCTAGAAAAACATATGTTGATGGAGGAAAAGTTAGTTACAAGTCACAATTAAAAGCTTTTCAACATTTATAATACCAACTCACTGAATGTACTAGTCCCCCTGTATTCCTCATACCACCTAAAAATAACACTGGAAACATGTGCCCAACTACTGCATCCATGCTGCTTTCCAATTGCTATTCCTCTGGTATTCATCTCTCTCCTTTCCAAACCACATATCCTGCTCTGCATATGAAGCGGAAGTCATAACCCTGAAGTGATATGAGTAGATTGTGCCACATTAGGTAACAAGCATCTTTTTTTAATCTTCCCCACATCAAGAAAACACCCTCATTGCAATTGCGCATTTTCTTTTTTAGAAAAGGTTACCGTTTGTGGATATTTTTTTTGCCTTTGCTGTTAATTTTCCAATTTTTTTATTAACAAGAACATACTCTCCACTTTCATTTATTAACAAGGAATTTTTTTCACTAATTTCAAATGTAAACTCTTGTCTGAATTTCAGTATTTACATCTAAAAAGGGAGTTATGTGGTTAGCTTGCAGTAGGTGATCTCAGTTAAGTAATTTAACCTGCGCTATTCGCATCTTCTTTTGAAGTTAAATAGCCTGGTATATTAAAGCTTTCATCTTCTGTTGCCTAAAATAGCATCTATACCAAGAAATGGGCTGGTCTAGACACTGAAAAGACAGATACACAACATACTGTAAGATGGCTATCAGATATCAAGTACTGTTACTGAAATACACAAAAATTACAGCCATAGACTGTTTAAAATTATGTATCAAAAACGTAACTGTTCAGCTCCTTTATGAAAAAAAGGATTGTCTAATACAATATAAAAAATAAGGAAAAATCCTTGCCTAAGACATTCTGGAATAGGCCATTCTTTTAAATATGGATTTTTCAATGCAATTGTCTTTGTATAATAGACTTTCTTGATAGGAATACTTATGCTAGCATTGTTGAGGCAATCCAGAGCCACTTGCAATTCTGCCCTGAATACATCAACATGCTAGACAGTTCACAACATAACCTGATTCCACTCTTGCTTTTAATCAAAAAGTGGCATGAATAACCATGTAAACAAAACTGCAGTTGGGAAACAGACCTAACAAGAAGTGCAACTGAAAATACTGTCACGCTGGCTGTCAGGAAAAAAGCTGCCACTTTTAAAAATCTGACCACAAAGCCACAAGTTATACGCATCAGGAGAGCAGAACTGTACCACAGGCTTTAACGTTACAGTACATCTACTGTAAAGGGGGGGGGGGGACCTATTGCATTTTAGTTGGAGCATATTCTTTAAAGAGCTGAAACTACTTTTTTAAAAATGTACTTTGCTTTCAGATGCACTGCACTTGAGCAAAAGCTCCAAGCTTCACTTTTTATATGCGTGCTTTTCTCACACTATCTCAAAGCATGTTAGACTATTAACTGACAAATCCAAATTACAATTGGTGATTTAGAAAAAAAACAGAAGCAAGAAGTATCGATTATTACTCAGGGGTAAGTATATCAGAAAAATTAAAATGCACTTTTGAGGGAGTCCACCTCAAAAATGCATGACAGTTTAGGACACTAAAAGGAAAGTCAAGTCCAGGGCACAAATGGTTAAACTAAGTACTGGTCAAGAAAGGCTGCTACTACCCCCATACCTTACGTTTTTACAACCCTGTCCCCTTCTATTTACTCAGGGGTAAGCCGCAGGGAATCACAATGGGCTTATTCATGGCGCGCCTACGCCTGCAGCAAAGCCCGTTTAGGCGCTTCCTTCCTTTAGGCGCTTCCCTTAAATTCATCCCCACTGTGCTCAGGGGGCTTACTCGCGCGTAAAAGCGTCTGGTATTACAGCCACTCCCCCTTGTCATTTGCTTACGGAGCGACTGACGCAGTTACGGCTTATTCGGGAATGTGGCCCTTTACGGGACAGAAATAAAGTGCTCGGCGACTCAAGCCATTCCAGAGCCCCGACTTCGACCCGCCACCTAGCCCCACCGACCGAGCGTCGCCCT